TGAAGTAATGGAATGGGATGTAGAACACTTCCAAAGTGATTTTACCTAGTTTTGAATCATTCCTTTGAATTTACAGAAAAAGCCTGTTTGATATACAGGGGTTGGACAATGAAACTGAAACACCTCTCATTTTAGTATGGGAGGTTTCATTTCTAAATTGGACCAGCCTGGTGGCTAATCTTCATTAATTGCACATTGAACCAATAAGAGCAGACTGTGAAAGTCCATTTAGCAGGGTAAGAGCACAGCTTTGCTCAAAATATTGTAATGCACACAACATTATGGGTGACATACAAGAGTTCAAAAGAGGACCAATTATTGGTGCACGTCTTGCTGGTGCATCTGTGACCAAGACAGCAAGTCTTTGTGATGTATCAAGAGCCACGGTATCCAGGGTAATGTTAGCATACCACCAAGAAGGACGAACCCCATCCAACAGGATGAACTGTGGACGCAAGAGGAAGCTGTCTGAAAGGGATGTTCGGATTGCTAACCCGGATTGTATCCAAAAAACATAAAACCACGGCTGCCCAAATCACAGCAGAATTAAATGTGCACCTCAACTCTCCTGTTTCCACCAAAACTGTCCGTCGGGAGCTCCACAGGGTCAATATCCACGGCCAGGCTGCTATAGCCAAACCTTTGGTCACTCGTGCCAATGCCAAACGTCGGTTTCAATGGTGCAAGGAGCGCAAATCTTGGGATGTGGACAATGTGAAACATGTATTGTTCTCTGATGAGTCCGCCTTTACTGTTTTCCCCACATCCGGGAGAGTTAAGGTGTGGAGAATCCCCAAAGAAGTGTACCACCCAGACTGTTGCATGCCCAGAGTGAAGCATGGGGGTGGATCAGTGATGGTTTGGGCTGCCATATCATGGCATTCCCTTGGCCCCATACTTGTGCTAGATGGGCGCGTCACTGCCAAGGACTACCGAACCATTCTGGAGGACCATGTGCATCCAATGGTTCAAACATTGTATCCTGAAGGAGGTGCCGTGTATCAGGGTCACAATGCACCAAAACACACAGCAAGACTGGTGAAAGATTGGTTTGATGAACATGAAAGTGAGGTTGAACATCTCCCATGGCCTGCACAGTCACCAGATCTAAATAATATTGAGCCACTTTGGGGTGTTTTGGAGGAGCGAGTCAGGAAACATTTTCCTCCACCAGCATCACGTCGTGACCCGGCCACTATCCTGCAAGAAGAATGGCTTAAAATCCCTCTGACCACTGTGCAGGACTTGTATATGTCATTCCCAAGACGAACTGACGCTGTATTGGCCGCAAAAGGAGGCCTACACCATACTAATAAAGTATTGTGGTCCAAAACCAGGTGTTTGTTTCATTGTCCAACCCCTGTACATAAAATGTCTCTGACTACGTATAAAATGCTGCGCAGTTCATAGTTAAATCAATTGTCATCGATGTATATTGCGAACGATGAAGCCCAGGTTTTTTTAAGTAAGTTATTTTTTTAAGTAAGTACATGTTTTGAGCAACAAGTAACGTTAACGTAACTAGCTAACGTTAGCCTATCCGTTTTGTAGCTAGCGCCTTAGCTAACACTTAACGTTAAAGCTGATCGCCCGAGACTCATTTTAAAACTCTTAACCTTTAAAAACTGTCTTACACAACTAACGTTAGGCTAACGTTAACTGAATCACAGCATAATTGTTTTCACATCTATTCTTATTGACGTTGGTTTAATGCATTGGATTTTGCAGGCTAACTTCCAATGCAGTAAAGTACTGTTTAGAATTTTGGGTAACTGAGCCACATGTTCACATTGTCCCTTATTGTATTTAGGTATGGATCCAACCCATCTTCCCGCTTATAGATGCAAGAGAAAATGGCAGACGCAAAAGAGGAGGTGAACTATTTTCAAAAATGTTTATTACGTTAAAGTAGTTCATATGTGGTGGTGTTTGTTTCAGTTAACGTTACATTTCTTTATTTCTCCCCATTCTTCTAGGACAATTTGCGAAATTTGGCCCTCAATTTGGTGTCCAGGCTGAGAGCTACACTGAATAATCCAACACCAAACAGTATGTATCATGAGTTACTGTGTTTACTAGGTGGCGATCTCTAGACAACATGTGTGCTTTCATTACATTATGTTGCTTTCCCTGTATACATATAACAATATACAAATACTGTTTTTGGAACAAGTTATTGCATTCATCATGGAAGTGTTGCTGTCATTATCATACAGCTTTCCTATTCATTTAGCCTATAACACAAAAAATGCTATGATGTCAGTGAATTAATTGTGTTGAATGAACAATGAAGTTCAGGGACAAAGCAACGCACAGACAAGCTCAGCCAGGGTAACCAGGCAGAACACATCCCAGGAACCACAAGAGCACAGTGTGGTGCATGTACCTACACAGGTACCTTCAGGGACTGCAGTTCAACAGAACATGGCCAGGTTTGGATGTTGTTCAAAGGATGCATCTCAAATGTTTCAGTAACAGCCGTCTTCAGTTCCTCACACAGTTGTTTGACTGCTGATTCAAATTATTTTTATTTCATCTACTCTAACCACAGGTGTTTCCCTGGACTATTTAAAGATAAGAATAACTGTAGGCCTCCTTCGCGATTGTCCAAAAAAAGGCCAGGCACCAAAACAACGCCAATCCCATTCTTTCTTCTGGACAGCCCAACAGAGAGAACCCCCAAACCATCTTCTGAGCTAATGCTTTTACAAGCTGGGTTAGGAAGAAGGACTGCAAATGTCCCAGAGGATGCTGGCCATAATGAGGTATGTGGTAGGACACTTAATGAAGTTAGGAGTGAACTTTTCACAAAACATTAACCTATACTAAAACAGCATATCCAGTGAAAACAGTAGCCCCAATCTTAGCCACCAAAACCATTTCATTCAGTTTTGGAATGCTGCCAATAGGTGTTATGAACAGATTTGTCTTGAGTTCATTTATTTGATAAATATTTGCTAATCTTACTCACATACTTTAAATTCATAGATTACAAACATTCTTTCTGAGACGTATCCAAAGATGTCAGATCTGGAGGGTGCCTGGATGTTGCACAAAGCCATGGGTAAAAAGCAAGAGATTGAAGTTTACTTTTTTTCTCTAAGCAAAAGAAATTTATTGAATCTTTTTGTTTATGATAAAGTTGTCATGTTTGAAAAGTATGATCTTTCCAACAAGCGGCAGAAAATAAATGTTTGTTTAATATTTGAAATTAAACAGGAGGATCAGGTCAACAGAAACTGAACTTGTTGACACCTGAAGAGGAAGGATACAAAGGGGCCAGTCTTGTGAAGAGCTGGGGAGGCAAGGGCTGTCTCTACATTATGCCCATCCAGAACACACTGGACATTTCTCCCCTACTCTTCACAGCTGTGGAGTTCCAGGCCATGCCGAAAGCCCGGTGTGTGTCATGTCAGGAGTATGTGCCTCTGCAGCTCCTCAGTCTCCATGTCAAGACATGTATCTAGTCTAAAGTCAAGGTTGAGGTGTGGCTTGCTGACTTGAAACTACAACATTGATGTTCTTTCTCCTTTTTTGATGTACAGGTTGGTGTTGTCATTTCTTAAATTTCACAGCAACTATTGGATGGTGGGCCCATGTTAGCAGTGTCCCTGTCAACTTAACCCAAGATTACATCTGACACTGTTGTTTAGAAATTGTTTTTTGTAAGTCATCACTCTTGATATTTCAGTTTATACACCCACTGTGATGATGACATTATCAAGTTGGACGATGAAGTGGTAAGCTATCAATACAAATGAAGAGATCCTACATAGTATTTCATAATATCAAGCCATACATTTATGATTTTATTTGCAGTAAATATTATGTGAATGAGACAGTAATGTTTACAGGCATCTGGTGATCAGCCATCACATTTGGAGAGTAAGGTGAGCAAACTGCAGTGCTTCATCAAATTGCTTGATTTTCTAATTAAGGTTTAGGTTTTAAGAATTAACCTGTGAAAGAGCATGTTTACGTCAGACCTCTGAAACGCTACATCTGCATTTTTAATTGATAATTTAGCACGGTTATTTCTTATTTTCCTAGGTTGCTTGTCCATTGTGCAGTCAACTATTTACAAAAGATGACATCTATGTGCATGTAAGTGTCTGCGGGGAGAGGTAAAAGCTTTTCTAAGTTTCTTCTTAGTATCTTACAAAGTTTGATGCATTTTGTATCCACTTTCTTAAAATGCTTAATCCCACTGTATCTGAGTCCCCTCATCGTCCCCCCTTTTTATTAAAGAATTTGGACAGATGATGGATGTCGAGTTATCCCTGGTTTTTTGTTTGCCTGACTCGACCAGGCTTTTCAGAGGACGCATGGGTCCACTCAGCTCAACTTAAACTTTCTTTTATTGACTTTTGTCTCACTTTGGTGAAAGTTAAGCAGGCAGGTTGAAAACCTCAGAAAGAAAACAAACAGAAATTAGTGCCACAATAAACCATGCAAACATGTTAACTTATATATGTTTAACTTGCCTTAGAAAAATGAATACTTTAATAAACATAAGTGGGGAAATGAAGTGAAATACTCACCAGTAGCGTCTCTGTTCGGTCAAACAAAAGAGCCACTCAGGTGCTCACCCAGTATTAAGCACCTCCGCTTCTTGCTCTATCCCCTTTCTCCAAACAAGTGAATGCTTGTGCTCTCTACCGCCCTCTGCACCACTTTGTGCACCAAATAACCATCACCACAGAATGAAAAATATAAAGAATGAAATCTAAATAGCACTTAACCCAACACCTCCCACTTGAGCTCCTGGTTAATGAACCCAAGGAGGTCACACTATTCTTTTAAAGTTGCTCCTCAATAGGAAGCAGAACCACCAGGCGTCTAAAATCCCTGTGAATGATGGTGGATGGGATTCTGGATGACAGTTTTTCTGTGCTTTTCCTTTGCCTGTGCAGTGTCCCTCTTTTCCTCACTGGAACAGGGTACCCTGGAAAAGTCCTCACATTCATATCCCTCACAACCCCTCTTCGGTCAGGATTTACGCTGACAACTCTGCCCAGCTTGTATTGGCCTCTCAAAGCGTTTTGATCAAGGTCTCCTTCATTGGAGAAAATGGAATAGACCAAGGTGCTCTTCGTAAAGAGTTCCTTACCGGTATGTGTGCCCTACCAAGGTCAACACATAATGAAAAGCACATTTAAGAGATTATCAGTTTGAATTATATCTCATACATTTCTAATACATTTGACAAAAGCCGTTCTTTGTTCTTTACAGAAATGGTGTGTGGAATTGAAGCACGTTTTTTTGAAGGAGATGGGGAAAGGGGCAATAACCCTAAATACAGTATCTGTGACTACCAGGACAAGAATTTCAAGTATGTGCCACAGTCTTTCATAAAATATGACTTTGGATTGTTTAATTTGTTAGTAAAAGTCCACTGCCATTTTGTTCAAAATAGCTTTTGTCTTTGTTGCCAAAGGACTTGTGGGGAGATTTTTGCCACAAGTTTGGTGCAGGGGGGTCCTGCACCAAACTTCCTTACAAGATGGTGCTACCATTTCTTGTGCCATGGGGAGATGGACAAGGATGTTGGTGTACTCGAAGTCACCGATCAGGATCTTAAAAATCTGATGAAAGAGGTATTGAAACAGTTTAATGCATACATTTTTCCAAGTCAGGCATATACAGTTATCAGAAAATGTTTATATTTTGCAAATATCAAGGTTGTGTCTCTTTCAGGTGGAAAATGCTGAAGGTGGAGAAAGGCCGATAGACTTATCAGATGCGATTTTAGCATTTGGCTACACTGGGCCAATAAATGTTGACCAAAAAAAGGCCATCATAGAGTAAGTTAATACATAGTATTGAAATATTTGTCACAAAATAGTGTTAATTTAACTCTGAATCAATACAGTATTTTCTGACTATAGCTGCTCCCAACTTTTTCTCACTGGTTTATGAAAGTGCAGACATCCAACTGATGGTTTGAAACGTTTATTAACGGATTTGCCGTAATGCTCGCCCAAGACCACCGTGAACACTGTAAAATACACGGTGGAAAATATACATCAATAAAACCTACATGAATTATCAAATTAAACTTATTAAACAAAATATACATTTTTCTAAATTGTCCGTACCGTATGCCCCTCCAACCAGAAGGTTAGGAGTTGCTAGAAGTCCTTTCTTTCCGTCCTTTTCCCTTTCTCTGGCTCACGGACTAATTGTAAACAACTCACAGCAAAGGCATCACGTGATTTTGTGAAAAGCCAATCGGCGACATCTCCATATAACATTGTTAGAACATTTTCAAAAGTATTTACATATTGATCGAAAATACACAAAGATATGAAATAGATGGCCTCGTGAGGCTGTGCATGCTCCTTGTCTTTTGTCATGCAGGACCAGCTGTGATAACCCCTCTTCGGATTGGCTGCCTGGAAGCTGCAGGAGTCGCAACCATTGGATCAGCAGAGCATGGCAAGGCAATCAGATGCTGATGAGCCTCACCTGTACCTTTAAAAGGCTCCTGAAACAGTCCCTCAGGGGGACAGCTAGTAGGAAGAGGTTCTGTAAAGCTGTTCCCCTACCTCGTGTTTGCTACTGCTTTGTAGAAGTCTTGGAACTTGTGTTTGCTACAGCTAAAGCAGTTTGATTGTGTTTGCTGATCCAAGCTTGTGCTAGGGAGGTTTGGTGCTCCCTTTTGTGTTTTGATGTGGATTGTTTTGAGTTACCTTTAGACTGACTTGTTTGAACTTTGGTAATTTAATTTGCACTGCGCATTCTTACAATTGGTTAGTCGGTTTCTTTTGTTTCAATTGGGTTATGTTGTACTGTGTTTTGGTTCTGTGAAACCCTCTTTTTGTAATAAATCTCCTCTTTTATTTAATTCCTTTTCTCTGGACATTTTTATGTTACCGCCCCTGGACCCCTAGACCTTGGGGCCGTAACATAGATATTAAAAGTAAAACATATTCATATTCACAAAAAAAAAAAAAAAAAAATTCACACAAAAAAAAATGCCCATGTAACTGCGTTCGTTACGCTGACTGTTTATTAGTGCCATCGCTTTGCATGCACTGGTGAGGCTGATCCCAATCTTGAACCAGAAGGATTGAGGCTCTACGGATTAGATGAGGTGTTAGCGCACCACACCGAGATGTGCCAGCAGCTCTTTGTCCCCGGCCACTTACAGGAAGTCAGTAACATTGTGATTGAAGAATTATTTTATTAGAACAGCCACTGACATTGATGACTTGCTCTTGTAGCATATTCTGCATTTTTACTTTAAGCTGTCTTCAAATGTGTTCAAAGAGCTAAACGCTACAGGCCAAAACATAAAATGAATCTTTAATTTCAATGTGCAACCCTTACTTTTTTACTGTGTTTAAGAATTTGATTTGCTTCCTTATTTTAGGTGAATGCAGACTTCCCTCTGCTTGCGCTTTCTCCTGATTTCAGTGAGGAGGGGTCTGTGAGACGGCAGCGAGAGATGCGGATCATCAACTTTCTGCAGGATTTCTTGCAAAAGTTGGAAGACAGAGGTAAAACACTGCTAAGCACCTTTTTCTATAATCCATCATATAGTCCATAACTTTTACTTTACTATCAAACTTGTTTTCCACCGATTTCATTTTATTCTCTTTATTAGCGTTACTCCCTCTTTAGGTTTATATTTGTATGTCTATTCTGTCAAATCCCCGTCATATATGACAAATGCATTTGTACTAGCAGAAATGTTGGCAATTAATTATTTGTATTTGTCTCTGAGAAGAAGCAGACAGCCAAGAAGAGAGCAGCCCTGACGGTGAAAATCATGTGGCAGTTGTGCAGGGAAACAATGATGGGGGGGGAAGCGCCTGTCAGTCAGGAGCTTCCTTCAGTGGGTCACAGGGCAGGCACACTTTCCACTGATTGAATCCAAGAGAGAGGCGTTCAAGATATCCGTTAGTTTTGACCATGACTGCGACTCCCGCTATGGGGCACATAGTCTTTGTTACCCCATTGTCAATGCTTGTGCAGTTGCCATTACATTTCCTACACGCCATTTAGCCACCTCCCACGAGTTTGAAAACAACCTAATTGAGGCAATCTGTGGTGGTTTCGAGTTCAGCAGGCACTAAGGTAGCATTTTAAGGGCCTTGTTAACTGACCCTTTTAGTGCTTTGTTTCCATTTTATACTTTGTACAAACAAGTGTACAACAAAGTTGTTCTATTGTTAAAAAGAATAAATTTAAAGATTTAACTGTGGTTGTTGTATATTTTATTTACATCACTTTCTCATCACCAAAACAATTATTAAACACCTGACAAAGCTTGAAGCACATATTCACGACACAGAAGGTAAATGTCTCTAATGTCAGCGTCTCCATTTTCTTCAATCAGCACCTGAAGCTCGAGTAGCTGCTGTTCATTCAATGAACACTGAAATTCAGGTACCGCTATCACACCATCCACATCTTCTCCATTGTCAGCTGCAACATCCCAGTCAATGTCCGGCTCTTCAATGTCCTGACGGTCGAACAAGACAGAAAAATACTGCTATCATTAGTCATCCCATTTTTACAGCATATCGTGTAATCTGTTCATCCCAAATGTTTGGCTTTTCAAAATTATCTGAAGATATAAACATTTAGGGTGTTTGTAGAACTATGCAACAAATTGATTTGATCATGTGCGTAAATATTCGTTTTGGTGTTAAATAGTGCAGGTGTACCTAATGAAGAGGTTGCTCAGTGCATGTGAACTGTATTACCAACATTTGCATCAATTGTGATTGTTTCACCAGTTGAATATGTGTGTTACAGTGCTTAGTGCCTGGTGGGCCATTTCAATGTTACATTAACAGCTTATTTTGGATATAAAATTTACTGTAGCAACTTAGAGTTGTTGCAAAAGAAAAAAAAAAAAGAACCTAAAGTTTCTCTGGCTGGTCAATTGGTCGAAGCATCATTCCTGAGTGCCAAATCTGCTCGGGAGTTTTATTCTCTTCTGTTCTCAGTGGGTGGTTGTTCCAACCTTCCACAAAAGCCTCCAGGTCTGCTTTCAGTTTAGGAAGTAAGGACAGGTGGACTGTCAAAAGATCTTCTATAAAGGGACAGGGTAGGAGTATGTTAATTTTCACAGGTAAGCTTTGAAAACATAACATTAAGCATTGCATATACTTTTGTAAATACATCTCATTGATTTGTTGTTTTCCAGTATTAACCATTTCTAAAATTCTTTACAATGATATACAACCAGCCATTAATGTTTATTAAAGTGCCCCAGACATCTGTTAACCAATCCAATTGTGTTGAAACTGACCATAAGGACGCCTGCGCCTTCCTTGTTTTCCACCTCAAGTCATGATTATTTTTATACCAGGCAAGTTTATAAGAACAGTTACTTATTTACAATAACGGCCTGGCAGGGGATAAAGACCTCCTGTATTGAATGGGTAGTAAGATTAAATAATCTATAGAAAGTAGACGAAAAATGGCACAATATGATGAGCCAAACCCGTACCACTGGAGTACACATCAAGAAGGTGATCCACCTCTAGGCTGTGGAGTTCGTTGTAATATTTTGATGTCACACATGTTCTGACATCCCGCCACAAACGTTCAATCCTACGGATTTAGAAATTATTTTAACCATCGAGGACTTGATAACATGAGAAAATGTAAGTGTTATGATTTTACACACAATAGACCTATTTATTAGCTTGGTAAAAGCATCCAAATTACAAAAAAAACCTTTGATTGTGGACGCTTTTTCCTGACATGAAGCTTCCCCGATCAGTTCCACGGACAGTGAACATATATCAAGCTATTTCCACGTTCTCCACTCCCTGATCACCTCTCACCCTGAAATGCACACAGATTGACCAGTGCGTTAAAATCTGTCAGTGGTGTACAATACACTGAACTAAAGTGCTACATTGTGTCTATGTTTATATATCTATACATGTGTCACAATAAACGAATTCAGCATATACCACTAGAGACCAGTACAAGCAGGTAATATAAGGGAGGTGTAAGGCTATGAGTGGGAGTGGTGTGGTGGTCAGCACTGTCGCCTCCCAGCAAGAGGGTTCTGGGTTCGAATCCTGGGGGAACCAGGACCCTTCTGGGTGGAGTTTGCATGTTCTCCCTGTGTCTGCGTGGGTTCTCTCCGGGTTCTCCGGCTTCCTCCCACAGTCCAAAAACCTGCATGTTAGGTTGATTGGAGATTGGGGAAATTGCCCTTAGGAGTGAATGTGAATGTGAGTGTGAGTGGTTGTTTGTCCTTGTATGTGTGGCCCTGCGATGGACTGGCGGACTGTCCAGGGTGTACCCTGCCTCTCGCCCGTTGACCACTGGGATAGGCTCCAGTTCCCCCCGCGACCCCATGAGGGAATAAGCGGTATTGATAATGGATTCATGGATGGATATCATCCATCATATTTGCGTCTATACCTTGAAGCCTGTAAAAACTTACCTTGAGGGTATTCCATGCCTCTCAGTTGCTTTTTTGAAGGCAGTGAATGCGGTTGATGCACGATTGTTTGTTGTAGCATTCAAGCACACCACCTCTGTTATCAGACATTTTCATAAATGTACATTCACTTTTATTTTATTTGGCAATATCTTACATGTACAATTGGATTACACTCTGGTCCCTTCATGCCTCAGGGAATCTGATATTTTAACACCTTAATGACCCTTACTACCATTTGGCACCTTGTATAATAACTTTTTCTTCCACATCAACAGGGCAGTATTTTAGCCATCTGAATGCAACATGTAATTTGGTGTACATCATAACAAATTTGCTTACACAGAAGGTCCCAGTTAAATGAAATCGTACCTTTCTGGAGTAGCCGTCCACTGCACCAAAAAGTACAATGTTGTACCTGATGGGCACAAAATATAGACCTACATTAACAGTTTCAACCTGGATTGATTTGTAGAAATGTCATGGCAACATACTTATGCTTTGAGATCTATCAGTGTTTGCATCATAATATTTTACAAATAAATCAATCTGTACTGTACAGTCCTGACCTGATCAGTTTGTGGTTCGTGTCGACATGCCACAGTGAAAGGGGCCCCCTGACAGAGTAAGTTCTTCGCACAATGCAGCCCATTCCAGTCAGTCTAGAAAGAATCCCAAGCGAGTCCACTCGATGCATTGATGCAGTAACTCTTCTCCGCTGGACGTGGATTCCCATGGACTTTAGCCTCCCTTTGACCATCCGATAGCCAGCTGTGGGCATTTCATTTTTGATGCGTTGGACTGCATTATCAAGCTCCTGGTCAGTAGCATTGCTGTTGTTCTGTCTGGCAGAGAGTCCAAACTCCTGTATCCGTCTGTTGACTGTAATGGCTAAAACGCACAGTAATTTTGCGATGCAGTCCACAGACAGATTTATCTCCAAAAGCTCTACAAGTTTCTGCTTCTCTAGATTGTACCTGGGACGCCCCATCTCTCCAGCTACAGTTTCAACAGTATTGTTGGTAACTTCAGCATTTTCAATGCGGTCCATGACGAGCTGGAGGAACTCTCTTAAGGCCTGTACAATATCCGGGGGGACATTTACATGCCTTGACAGTGCTTCCCAGAGGTACAGCTCTTGCCGACATGCAAACTGCAAGAAGTCCAAGTCAAGAGGCGTCCTTGAAAGCGCTGACTCTAACTTAATGATCAGCCTGGAAATAATCTCACGTCTGACCATGTCCTGTTGAAATGCAAAACAACATGAAATTAACACTCCTTAATATACTGGATACATATTCGTTATTCAATTTTAAAAAGTGTGTGCGTGGGGGGGGTATGACTGATACAGACAGACTTCTGGCCATTGTTTTACACATGCAGCAACGACTAAAACGCAAGTTTGCTGAGAGACAGCTAACGTTAGCCCCTGCTGAGTTTGCTGGCTCGCTAGCCTAAAACTTGCTAGTTAAGGTTGAATGACTTATGTCAGCTACTTACATATTCCAAACAAATTTTAAAATAATTGCTACATTGTTAGACTACACAGCCCCCATCATATATCAATATCACTTACGCCTACATCTTCAGGTGTCGCCGCCATTCCGTCCGCTGTTACCTGAACCCAGTCAGATTCTTTGACTCCGTGCTTCGTGTAATGGGAGCTGTCAATCAAGGTACGAGGACGTCCCTGTGGTTGTCATCACGACGAAAGTGACCAATCATAAGAGGGTCAGTGCCCCCTTGGTTTCCGCCCCCAAATTGTCAAAAGTCCTGTAGACTCCAGCGAGCAGAAATCCACTGCGCGAGCAGAAATCCACTGCGTGCGCAAAACAGCGCTCCGCGAGCAGAAGCACACTGCGCGCAAGCAGAATTCCACTGCGCGAGCAGAGTTATCCTTTGAATTTGTGCGCGAATACTGTATCTGCGCGCAGGAAGGTTAATTTTGTGCGTGTGAACTTAATTTTGCGCGTGTGAACTTAATTTTGCGCGTGTGGACTTTTGACATAAATATGACGCCATACAAGCGAAGTAAACAGGCTGGTACCAGGTTGGTTGGACCTCGGATGTGATGGCGTCAACTTCTCACCGACGATGGCAGGGATGGCGAGGCTGGTGCAGCGATGAGTTTTCACTGTAGCGGCCCCTCGGATTTATTGATAAGACGCAGAGAGTTTCAAACGGGTGTTGGTTTATTTCGTTTTTCCCTCAACGAGCACCATGCATTACACCATGAACACCGTGAAAACATACCTCATTCCGCTCTCCAAGGGCGCTAATCAATGTAGCTTCCATCCGCTAGCATGCTCTCTAGCTAGACAGGCTCTCACAGCTTACGAATAAAAGGTACGAACAATACAAAAATAATAAATGAAATCACAATACAAATATTACTTTACAGGATTCAAACAGATGAACACGATAAATATAATACTTTTAAAGTTTTACCATTTCTCTCATCATGCGTGAGCGCGGCATCGTGACGACAGTGGCAAGAAGTTTAACGTCACAAAAAACATCAGAAGAAGAAGAAGACAGTGCTCTTCAAAGTAAAAGCAGAATAAACCAAAAATCACTGTAGAACCACAGTGTCTTGTGAACACATAAATAACACTGTGAAAGAGAATATAGATGCCATTTTGTCAGACATTTACATGGAATGTGATGTAGAACACTTTCAAAGTGACATGACCTAGTTTTGAATCATTCCTTTGAAGTTACACAAAAATAATTTTTGATGTATTTCTCAGTGATTTTTGGAATTTTGATGGTGTGATATCTTTTGACTTCAAGTTAGTACCAGTGTGATTATTTCTGACAAGGCAGGAAATGTGCAAAATAACACTGTGACAGTCATTTTACCTAGATTGTGTTCATTACTGGGAAGTTATATCAAAATCCTGTTTTGTGCATATCTTGGCAAAAGCTGCTTATTTCTGGATTTGTACTGGAAAGTGTGATAACTTTTGACTGAAATTGAGTTTAAGTGAGATTTTGGTTGTGAAGTCATGGAATGCGATGTAGAACACTTCCAAAGTGATTTGACCTCGTTTTGAATCGTTACTTTGAAGTTACACAAAAATCCTTTTTGTGTACATCTCAGTGATTTTCGGAATTAGATAGTGTAATATCGTTTGTTTGCAATTAGTACCAGTGTGATTCTTTCTGACAAGGCAGGGAATGTGCTAAATAACACTTTGAAAGTCATTTTACCTAGAATGAAAGGATGCTAGGGCTGTTGCTTACACAGGTATTCCTGGAGAAGGGGATCCGTCCGCCTGTCGTTCGTATGCCCTTTGCACTAACGGCACATATAAAGACAGTTTATTTTCCAGTAACTATTTTCCAACTATTTTCCAACGACTGAATTGCGAAATAAGAAAAAAGTCACTTGCACTTACTTCCTTTGTCACACTCACTGTTTGAACATGAGGCCAGTTCTGTTAAAGATGGGCATGGGGGTAGTGAGGGAGATGATCACCCATGGTCTGAGTACCGGCCCCCTTTGAGCAGTCCTACAAATTTTGAGATCCCACAGGTGGCCTTGAAAAAATCCTTAGGCAGTTTTGTGGTGTGCTATGAGTTTGTTGGTAAGGTCGACATTACTACAGTGCCTGTGGGCACTATTTCCAGCTTGGAATGTGATGTCATCGTCCCTGTCAATGACAGGGTGGACATGTTTGTTTCAAGGTTTATACATGGGAACTGACATTTTTCAGCCACATGCAAAGTGGCTCCAACCTATACTGTGATTAACAGGTAGTTATGCTCCATGCGTGCTGTACCTGACACTTTGTGGTATTGTGGGGAGACTAAGTGGTACACTCACTTGCCCTATGGCTGGAGGGGCAGAGGTGCGCATGTCATGCAGGTCTCTGATATTAAGATTGCCATTGACCCTTTCTCTCCATCATCGTCAGGGAGAGGGAAACGGTCTAGTATTCCTGGTAGTTTAGATATCAAGGTTTACATGGATGCTATTGAGGTTCCCAGAGGGGGTCCGGATGAAAACAAAGCCCGAAATCAAATAGCAGCAGGGTTTGAATCGATTTTCTTGTGGCCTACGATCAATAAAAATGTTGACAGGATAAATTACCTTTTTTAAAATCAGCAATGGTTTATGATGCAATTGAAGGTTACATCCCACATCTATTATGACATGGCAAAACAGAACAGCCGTGGATATGCTAATGACTGAGACTGGAGGAGTTTCTGCGTTCGTAGGAGGCTCCTGCTGTACGTTCATTCCCAATAATACTGCTTCAGATGGTTCAGTAACCAGAGCCCTGGACGGGTTAAGGGCTCTTCATGTGGAATTGGGACATAATTCAGGTGTGGACTCAGTTTTTGGTAAGTGGGAGGATGTGATTCCGTACCTCCTTACAGGTAGTACAGGTGCATTGCGCTTGTTCTGTGAGTTTTCTGCTCTATTCCATGTCCCAGGCATTTGAATGTGTGCGCTTTAGATAAGATTGTGTTTTCTCAGATGTTGAGGGTCACTCCTCTTGCAGGGAGCTCATCAGACTGTTCTTCTGACTCATCTGTTCTGATGATTACTATTGTGCTTAATTTCAAGTGTTTATGGTGATCCTTTATGATGCCTTTGTTTTAAACTCACTGATAGAATGAAGGTTGACGTTATTGATGAAATTTTGCTACTTTTCAGTACTATAATCATTGATTGTTTAAGATTGTTTGAGATGTTTTTGTTTGTTTGTTTTGTAAGTTTAGTGTAGTCTCATGGCATAATACTAATACTAATAATGGCATAATACATAATACTGCATCATTATAATCAGAAGTAGTGGACTGTGGGGGAAATCAATATATGAATGATCACTTTCTTCTTCCAGGTAAATTTCCACAATTGAGTATTTTAAAGGTTCTTTCCTCCTTCAAGGTCTAAGAACAGCTCTCCTCAAATTTTGTCTAATTCTCGAGGATTGGTTAATACAGATGCAGAATGAAAGGCAGACTTTACGTCTCATTTTAGGATGGAGGACAGACTTGGCATCTCATTTTGGACTCAGACTGGTATAAAATGATTTTGTTTTACTTTGGAGCAGCTTGTTACATGCTGGTTGCTCTCACTTCAGCTACTAATGCGTCTAACACTGTTATTGAAATATAGATATTGAAATTTAACATGTAATCTGTGTCCATAAAAAACAGATTCTGAAAAGATGTGATATGAGGGTTTTCTCAATAAAGATCACAAACATTTACATTTAACTGATTTTAATTTTGAGAGAGAGAGAGATACAACCAACTCGTTGAGGGACAAGGGATGTAATACAAACCAGATGTACTTGGTATTGACAACAACACAGCAACAGGCGCCAAGTGCATGTACCAACCCAGTTTATGATGGATTGCGCAATCAGAAGTTTGGCTCATTGGTGCTGCCTTGCGTTTAAGTCATACATAAAAATCAGTGGACAAATATTAATATTCATTAATATTCATTAAACTTATTCATAATATTCCCTTATGTTATGTTATTTCTTTTTTTTCTTGTGATGATCACAGTTAAGGCCCTGCCTCCCCTGATCGCACATCCCACACATATATATATATATATATATATACAGGGGTTGGACAATGAAACTGAAACACCTCTCATTTTAGTGTGGGAGGTTTCATGGCTAAGTGGTTCAAATATTGTAACCTGAAGGAGGTGCCGTGTATCAGGATAACAATGCACCAATACACACAGCAAGACTGGTGAAAGATTGGTTTGATGAACATGAAAGTGAAGTTGAACATCTCCCATGGCCTGCCCAGTCACCACATCTAAATATTATTGAGCCACTTTGGGGTGTTTTGGAGGAGCGAGTCAGGAAACATTTTCCTCCACCAGCATCACGTCGTGACCTGGCCACTATCCTGCAAGAAGAATGGCTTAAATCCCTCTGACCACTGTGCAGGACTTGTATATGCCATTCCCAAGACGAACTGACGCTGTATTGGCCGCAAAAGGAGGCCCTACACCATACTAATAAATTATTGTGGTCTAAAACCAGGTGTTTCAGTTTCATTGTCCAACCCCTGTTTATATATATATAAACCTCTTAGCTCCTGTTCTCTGTGACTCATGTTAAACTTAATTGTGATAATTTCCAAATGTTGTCCTGTTGTTGGAGTTTGAGCACTCAGTGGTCGAGAGTTTGCACTGCAAATTGAGAGGTCCCTGGTTCAAATCCCATTAGAACCTTTTGGTACCTTATTGATAATTCCAGGGCC